ATGTTATATGTGGGATTGAAATTTTTTTTCCCTGTCCGACAATAATAATGCAAATCTATATCTAATCTATATAAAAATCTATATAAAAAGGTTTGATTATTTTTCAAATAGTAATCATTTCCCGCCAAAAAAAAGTTGTCTACTAATTTTGGAAAATTTTTAAACACTTCATGGTATGTTTTAAAAATACAATTTAGGTAATTGCGGCTGATTTATTAAGTTTATAAATCACATAAAAAAGATGATAGAAAGTTTGAAACTTCTGAATCTCTTTTGTATCTCAAGATATTCATATTATATATGTACATATATATATATATATATTATATATTTGTACCTAAAATATCTAGATCTATTACATTCCTAATAAACATTAAATTTACTTATATATTTTTAAATTAATCACATCAATAAATAAAAATAATAATATACATTAAATATTTATCATTATATACAAAAGAAATATTATTTCTATTATTATAAATAATAATGTATTAAAATAATAAATTTTTGAATAAAATAATATTTAATATTATTATGAACTAAAATATGTAAAATTATTATTTTTTATATTAAAAAATAAATATATATTTTAAAATGTTATTTATATTAATATAAAGGGATTAACGGGCTACTACATTATTAAAATAAAATTTTACTCACTAGTCATCAGAATAAATTCAGATTATATTCCAAACTCTACAAAGTTAGCAAAATTATCGTCTACACGACGTCGTTCCTCGTCCACAAACCCTTGAAAGTTTCTTCTCACTTTCGATAAGGACATCTTCAGTTGCGTATACGAATAAAAAACCCTTTTCGGTTTGCCTCTTATAAATCTATTATATATTCATCTCTCTTTCGCTCATATACTCCTTCGATTTTGCCCCCCCTGTTTATTTTAGATTATTTTTGGCCCTAATACGAATTTGTCTGTAAATTTTCGGATTCTTTGGTGAGTTTGGCGAGAACCCTTTTCGCGTGAATCTTTGTTCGTAATTTTCTGATTCTTTGGTGAGTTTTGCGAGAACCCTTTTCGCGTGAATCTGTGTTTGCTTCTTATCTGTGTTTTCCTAATGTGTTGTAAATTGTTTGGATTTCTCGTTATTTGTTTTCGATATTCTGAGGAAGAAATCTGCGGTTGATTGGTGTCTGATGTTGTTTCGATGTCTGAATTTTTTGCAGCGGGAGATAGAAATTCGATTCGTGCCATGGCTAAGAGCTCTTTCAAATTAGAACACCCTCTGGGTATGCTTGTGTCTGTTCAAATCTTTCTTATGTTTTTTTTTTTGTTCTTGTTTATTTTTGGTATTTTTGGTATGATCGGATGATGATAAATTGTTTATGGTGAATTGGGTTTGGTTTTCTTGCCGGTAAAAGTCAATGAATGAATAGGGGGAACGAGAGAGTTTTGTTGTGTTTGGTTTCTTTCACGAATGTATAATTTATTCGCCAAGTTATCATTTTGACTTTGAATGAGTGCAGTTTAAGTCTCGTATATTACTAGTACTAATACTCATGTATAACATGGGTGTTGAGTTAATGAATATATGTGTAAAGTTATTTATGTCTAATACCAAACGTAACTCCAGAGCAAAAGTAATATAAAAACAACATTACGAAGCATAGATTTTCGCTATGTTAGCATCCAAAGCGTGAGAATCTGCCACCTAAACTCAACACGTTTTGAATTAATATATAGGGAGGGATATATTTGTATTTATATGTGGAGGAAGTAAAATGTCTTCTGTGTACCAACATTACGAAGCATAGATTTTCGCTTTGTTTACTGTTTGGATCTCGTGTTTCGATGCATAAGCTTCTTTTCTGTGCTTCATTTGTTCTTATAATCTTAAAGGTGGCTTGTTTTTCATTGACTCGTTTTCTGAATCCATGTTTTTTTATTGGAAGTAAAGCGTTTCGTTTGAGGATTTTTGTAATGCGATGGGAATTAAATATTTTAGAACTCTTTGAGTAATTTCTAGTTCCCATATTTGAATATCGCACAATTTCGTGGAAAGTTTCAACAGTTTGTATGCGTTGTTTTTCATCATTGCAGAGAGAAGACAGGCAGAATCTTCTCGCATCAGAGAGAAATATCCGGACAGAGTTCCGGTTAGCAATATTTTGTTTTTTAAATGAAGTGATTCACTGATTGTTATTATATATACTTGTTTGCTGAAAAATGTGAGATTTTTACTTCATTTACAATTTCACGTTTCAGGTCATTGTTGAAAAGGCAGGAAAGAGTGAAATCGCCGATATTGATAAGAAAAAGTAAGTTTTATCCCAACCTGATGATCACTTGTAAATCAAACCTTTCTATAACATGTCTCAATAAAATTTGATGTAAGTTACTTAGAATACTATTGTGTAGTTGTTTTGTGTTAGTTTCCTTTCCGAAAAAATCTAAAACAACTAATAGTTGAAAAAAAATAAAATTATTTTTGACCGACACAAGTTTTTGCCCCGTCTTTTGTTTGAAGGTACCTTGTTCCAGCTGATTTGACTGTTGGTCAGTTCGTTTATGTGGTCCGTAAGAGGATTAAGCTTAGTGCTGAGAAGGCCATATTTGTCTTTGTCAATGACATGCTTCCTTCCACTGGTGAGCCGGGCCTCTTTTTTTTTTCTCGAAAATTAATATTTATTGAACCATTTTCTTACGTGACGTTCTGTATTTTTACAGCTGCATTGATGTCGGCAATTTACGACGAGAACAAGGATGAAGATGGATTTCTGTATATGACCTACAGTGGGGAGAACACATTTGGCGCGTATCAAGTCTGACGGGTCTCACATTATCTGTAAATAGCATCTCAAGTGTATATCTCGTTTTATCCGCGATTTTATCTGCATGCTTGTGATGCCCAAACTCTAGCAGAAGATACTCTGCAGTTTCTTTTTCTTGAATTAAAGTTCTTGTGATGATTTTCCTTTCAGTTGCTCTCTCTCTCTCATTGTGTGAAAAAAAAAAACTATAGTAGCAGTATCGAGTGTATCATTTGAATTGACCGAATTCTGGTAAAAGCATACTGCTGAATGTTGCATTACGATTTGTATATAAAATTTGTATATCAAAGTGTTAAAAGAATTGTATCTCACTATAAATATTTATATATTAATATATTTATATAGTTTTTATTTTTATATAAAAAATATTTAAAAAAATAAAAATATATAAGGATCGGGTAAATAGGGTTGACCCGGCGGTCAATGGCTCTGGTCGACTGGGTCAAGATTGGGTGGGTCGGGTTTGACCGAGTTCATTGTTATCTGGTCCAATAGCCTGCCTGGACTGATTTCGGTTCTGGGTCGGTCGGGTCTCAGGTCGACCTGTCGGGTCAGTCCAAGATGAAAAACAATGGGTAAAATTGTTTAAAGAAAAAAATAAGCGTGTAAAACCAAAAAATTGAAATCCTCGGTCACAACTCACAAGGTTCACAAGCTCAGCACACTTGTACACGTCATCAAGACATTGCCATCTGTGACAAAAACCAAAGAAGATGATGATGACATGGCAACCAAAGAAGATGATGATGACATGGCAAGGCCAGGCCCGACCGGGAACCGACCCGTGATAAAATCGGGCCGGTTCCGAAGTTTAGTTTTTCTTTTTTTGACCCGTGGGTTCCGAGTCGGAAGACAGGTTGTAGTTGTTTTTATTTTTTATTTAAAAAAACCGCAGTTCAAAGACCCGTCAAGTCAGGCCGGTTCCGAGCCTAACGTTTGAGGACCGCCGGACCGGCCTGGCCTTTGGATACGTCTAGATGATGATTTCTAAGACTACCAACATGGACACGTGTTGCCTAATTGTTAATGGAACATGAGTTGGCATAGCAAATATGGTGCAGGGAGACTTGGCCAATTGACGTGCCGTGACCCGGCCCGGCGCGGCCTACAGGTCGACGGGCCTCAATTTGATGGCCCGTAACCGGCCCGGCCATTTTTATGGTCCAGTTCCTTAAACCGGCCATGAATCGCACCGACTTGTCGATTTTTAGTCAATTCGGACCCGACTCAACCCTTTTAAAAAAAAATTACAAAGGCCGCCCGTCTTCCAACTCGCGACCCGTCTCGAATTGCTGGGACAAAAAATAAAATTTAAAGTACCAGAAGCGACCCACATGGCTACGGTTCTGATTCACTGAACCTGCGTGATACGGGCCAATTGCAAACCGATTCAATGCCGGGACGACGGGCCGCGACGACGGGCTGGGTCGGCCCTTAGCCATGTCTAGCTGTGGGAAATCCAAAGCCCAAGTTCCACAATTCGTTATCAGCCTCAAAAAAGCGGCAAAACACAAGCAGCATGATTTCAATTTCAAAATGGTGTCTCGTCCTCTCCAAACAGGGCAAAACCCTAATCAATGGCACGAATCCCATTTCATTCCCATCTTCCCCTAAAAACACTAGCCCTCAACCCCAAATCCTCTCCCTTGACGTAAAAATGTCTTCTTGGGCCTGCTCCACGTGCACCTACCTTAACCCGCCCGACCAGAAGACCCGCTGCGAAATCTGCCAATCGGCGCAACCGCAGTCTCACCCATCGCCGTCGTCATCGCCGTCAAAACCCCAGTGGTCGTGCTCGTCCTGTACTTTCCTAAACCCCTACCGTAGCGCGAGCTGCGAGATATGCGGGACCAGGGAATCCGCTTCTCTGATTTCCACTCTCGAAGTCGGCGACGATGAGTTGGAATTGGGTTCTTCAGTGGGCAGCGTCTTTTTGCCCTTGCGAAATTTCAGCAGTAACAGCGGCGGTGCTGGTTTTTACGGCGGGTTAAAGGGTTCTGTCCCGCCTTTGAGGCGAGGGAATTGCGGCGGCGGTTTAGTGAATGGGGGGAAGAAAGATGTGGGTGATGGCAGTGGTGAGGGACGTGTTTTGGGAGTTAGTGGTGAGGGATTTTCTTTAAAACGTTGCAGTAAGAGGAAAGAGATGGAGGAAGAAGATGCTGGTATCGAAGTGGGTCGGGTTGGTGATGTTATCGGGGTTTCTAGTGGGTTTAGGGCTCCGAAGGCTGCTGATAAGGCTGTTGAAGTTTATTCGTCAGGTATGTGTAGCTTTTTTATGGTAGTTGGCGCTTAGGTACATTTGTAGTGTTATTGGGGTGAGATCTTGTGGGCTAGGGTATTTTCCTGTGGGTTCAATTTGTTCGGTCGGTGTTGATTCGTGTGGGCTATGAATGCTAGTGCCAGTTTTGGTGCTGAACTTGAAATGGTGGTATTTTCTCTGATAGAATATGTGATTGTGTGTGTACATACAGGGGAGATACGCAAAATTGGTCCAGAGAAAATTTTACATATCAAGAAAATTAGATAAGAAAAACGTGTTCTAGGATTATTATGCTAATTGTAGTTCATATATATTGTGATTTGTAGAAATATTATAACATCATCTCAGTAATTTCCGAATCAACATTGACAGTGAAGTGATACTCGAGTCTACTTATATTAATGAAAAATGGGAGTAAGGTAACTGGTCAATATGGAGTTGGCATATAAAATGTGAAATTTTGCATTAAGTGAATCTAGAGGAGTGCATAAACTTTTGAATATATGTTGCTCAGAGGGTTTATTTTGATTAAATCATGTTGCACTATGCTACATTGCTACATTTTTTTTACTTTCAAGAATTAGAATATTGGATTATCAGGTCTCAATTAGCCTGATTGTATTCCTTGGTGGGTCTATACCTAAAATAAATACATAAAGCAACAGGTGAAACTCATAAGTCCTCAGGTCCTAAGACATGGAAGATTCTGAGTTACAATATTTGGTTCCGTGAAGATCTCGAAATGCGAGAGAGGATGAGAGCACTCGGCTACCTAATTGAACTGCACTCACCTGATGTCATATGCTTTCAGGTTCTTACAATTTTTGTCTGAGTTTTCTTCTATTGCGATTATAGGTATATCATAAAATTCCAAACACTTGTCAGTTTTATTGATAGTCATTCCCGTTTGATACGCAGGAGGTCACCCCGAGTTTCTTTAGGATTTTCCAGCAATCAAAATGGTGGAATAACTACCAATGTTCAATTCCAGATGAAATGTCATTTCCAGGAGGATACTTCTGCATGCAGGTCTTTTATAATGCCTTCCCAATAGTGTGCATTTTGAGGAATGTTTTTAGGAATCAGAATCAGTTTTTTATTCCGTCCGCTCTAATTCAAGTAGTTTCTTAAAATTGTGTATAAATATTGCAGTTCTTTTTAAAAAATGCAATTAAAATGGTCGTGTGGTACTTTTATGCATTTTTCTAAGGCTGTGTTTGGTAACTATATAAGCTAGCTTATAGTTATTTGATTAGCTTATATAACCTTCCTATATTCAAATAAGGTTGGTGTGACAAGATGAGGTTTTTTAAAAGCTCGAGCTTATCTCATAAGCTTCCTTGAGTAGCTTTTCAAATAAGCCCATTGGATTTTTTTATTCAGCTAGCTTATCAGCTAACTTTACCAAACACTTTTATTATATAAGCTAGTTTTTCTGCCATAGTCATAAGCTATCAGCTATAAGCTCAAAATTCACTTAAAAGCTAATAAAGCTAGTTTATCAGCTAGGTTTACCAAACATAGTCTAATATAGGCTTATAGAAGCTAGAGACTAACTCAGATTATTCTTTGGCAGTTATGCAGATTGCCTGTCAAATCCTTTACCTCACAACCCTTTCACAATTCCATCATGGGCCGAGAACTCTGTGTGTCCAATGTCGAATTTCAGCCCGGCAAAATAGTAACTGTCGCCACAAGCCATCTAGAAAGTCCCTGTCCGGGCCCACCCACATGGGACCAAATGTTCAGCAAAGAACGCGTGGCCCAGGCCAAAGAGGCCGTGACATCACTCAATAAGTATAGAAATGCAATCTTTTGTGGGGACATGAATTGGGACGACAAGTTGGATGGCCCATTTCCCTTGCCTGATGGATGGGCTGATGTGTGGGCCCAACTGAGGCCCGGAGAGAACGGGTGGACTTATGACACGAAATCTAACAAGATGCTGAGTGGGAACAGAGCCCTACAGAAGAGACTGGATAGGTTTGTATGCAAGCTGAATGACTTTAAGGTGAGTAAAATCGAGATGATTGGGACAGATGAGATCCCGGGCCTGTCGTATGTGAAGGAAAAGAAGGTGAAAGGGCAGGTTGTGGAATTAGTGCTCCCGGTTTTGCCGAGCGATCATTATGGGCTGCTTTTGACAATTTCTCCCCAGTGATTGCTGTTTAATTAGGTGGATAATTGATTAATTTCACCACTTTTTGCCCCGTTTTGTGGTTTTGTTTTGGTGTGGGTTATATGCTGCATAATTTTGTAGATAATGGAATTTTACTTACAAGTTTTTCAAAACTTGACTATGATCAGCTTTATTATGTCTGATTGACCAGTTGTGCTGGTTATGTTCAGCAATGCAGCTGCCCAGTTAAAATCTATTTGGATGGGTTGTTATTGGGTTTCATTTTTTGTGTGTCCATTTTAATTTTGAAAGGCAGTGCTATATTAGATTAATTGACTGTAGGGTTGTTATTGAACTGAACTAATATAGCCCTTGGAACATGACCTTTCAACCTTAAATGGATATTGATGTTTTATTGAACTGAACTAATGTAGCCCCGCTGCAATACGATCACCGAAAGTATTTTCGTTCCCAGACTGATCCGCACAGGTTATTTGAAGTTTATTTTCAGTAATTTTATATTCTTCGTCCATGGCTTTTGCAGCTTCAGCGCGAATTCCATGAAACCCATGGAACAATCTCATTTGCCCTCAACATCAAT